GCAATGTCTACTTGTCACTTTAATTCATGATGCAATTAAATAAACAACAGCCTCTCACAGTCATTGGGAAAAGAAGTGCAAGGTGGCTCTACCTTTAGGCAGTGGGCAGAGGGCAGGTACCATCAGCTATTCCTCCTGAGCCCTCTGTCCATGGTCTCTTCAGGTAGATGAAGCATGTGTATGTTACACAGATTGGCCTCACACCCTAAATTAGCATGCTGACCCCAGCTACCTTATCTATTTACTAGCACTGTATCCAAGTAAGGTTGAGCTGTCAGACCTCACAGTTGTAGTATGTGGCATGGAAGGAAGTGTCATTTTATCCTTTTCTCAGGCAGCAAAGTATGGTGCCCAGGCCCCTGGAAACAAAGATTCTAAGGGCCTCTGCAGATGGGCCCTTTGCGGCATGTTGGAAGCAGGGAAGGGGAGGGGCAGCTGCACACCAGCCACCCCAACCCCTCCCCAAAGACATCCTGATGCCATGTGCCCTTACGCATGGCACGTAGCATCAGGACATCCTCCTGGCGTAGCGTCCTCACGTGCTATGCAGGAAGAGGCACAGAAGAGCCACGTAGCGGCTCTTGGGGCAGCCTTTTGCTGCCTCTAATAGGAGCAGCATTTTGCCGCTCTTTTAAGAGGCAGCAAACGGGAGAATCGGGGCCACTGTGTGTGCTAGCAGCAGCCCCAAACCTTTGCTTCTAAATGCTCACCAGTGAGTTCTTATTTTACTTCTTATTTTACTTATTGCACATCTCTGATATGAGGCACTTCACAAATTAATATGTATGTTTAGTTGGTGGATACAACACATCACCTCTTGCAGATTTGATTGGAGTGGTGAAGCTCCAGACATGACTGTTTTTCAGACTGTTGTCTAAATAAGAAGAAACATCTTCCAGCTTTTCCCATTTTGTCCAGTAAGTCCTGATTTACCAGTTCTAAACTAAGTACATAATTCCCACTATCAAATTACAGATTCTAGAATAATAGCTCATAACATGTCATTTTCAAGTTACTGTTTACTCAAAAGTTTTTGTTCCACCTAATAAAGCCTTGATTATGTTATAATCTCTAGAAGAAGATGTGTAAATTTCTTTTACAGCATGATAAAATTATTACACAATTAGTATGAATTAGTATTAATTAATTACAGATACAGTGGCTCAGTGGTTAAAACGCTGACTCCGACAATCACCAGGTTGCCAGGTTGGCAGTTCAAGACCCAAGTGCCGTGTGAGAGTGAGCTCCTGTAACTAGTCCCAGCTTCTGCCAACCTAGCAGTTCAAAAACATGTAAACATGCAAGCAGATAAATAGGTACCATTCTGGTGGGAAGATAATAATGTTCTGTGCAGTCATGCTGGCCACATGATCACAGAGTCGTCTTTGACAACGTTGGCTCCCTTGTCTTAATAACGAAGATGAGCAGTGCCCCCTACAGTCAGACATGACTAGACAAATCTGTCAAAGGGAAAACATTTACCTTTTTAAAATTAATTACATAATTAGTAATTGTTGCACAGTTTTCACACAGGAGGGTCAATATCATCATCATCATCATCATCATTCCTTGCACAAGTTGCGGGAATAAGAAAGCTGTAAACCACTAATTTAGACTAAAAGATAATTGTCTTCCAAATCAATATTCATCTCCCAAACACTTAGAATTCCCCTTTACAGAATACTTTATGCAAAAAAAGCTGACTATAATATTAAAATAACAAGAAATTTGTATAACATAGACCAGGGGTAGGCAACCTAAGGCCTCGGGGGGCCGGATGCGGCCCCCCGAGGCCTTTGGACCGGCCCCAGGCCGGTCCTACTGCCGCTGCCTGCCATGATGATATTGATTATTGTTGTTATTACGTGTTCTTGGGGTTTTCTTGGCAAAATCTCCACAGGGGTTTTGCCATGGCTTTTCTGGGGCTGAGAGTGTGTGCATGCATATATTTTTTTTAAAAAAATTATTTATTTATTTATTTATTTATTTATGGTGATTAGGCCCCCCAATTGTCTGAGGGACAGCAACCCGGCCCCCAGCTCAAAAAGGTTGCCTACCCCTGGCATAGACAGATGCCAAAAGAATTCAACTGTAAGAGAAACAAGATTTCTAAATAGCAGCAGCAGCAACAACAACAATAATGTACTTAGCAATGATATTGTGCCTTTTGTTGTAATTGCCATAAAACAATAAAATAAGTCCCCTGTCGCCAGTGTTGTTCACCTAATAAGTTCATGGCAGACACAAGATTTGAACAGGAGATTGCAGCTAGAAACCAAAGGTCTTTTTCTTTTCCACTGCTCAATAAGAGGCTCCTTTGTTTTTCAATTGTTTTACAAGCAAATCCTGCCAAACTATTAATGCTCCAAGTATCACAAACATTTTGAAATTCTATATGGACGTATGACACTGCCTGACACAGGGTCATGCCACTGCTCTGTCTAGCACAGGACTGCCTGCTCTGACTGGTAGTAGTCCTCAAAAGTATCAGGCTTTCTCTGCTCTGATATCTAATATCCATTTTAATTGGAAAATGCTGGGAACTGAACTCAGACTGTTGAGCACAGGCAACTGTGTCTTACAGCTGATTCACATCAGTTCACCTGAACCATCTGCCAAAATTTCTATATGTGGGGATAGAAAACAAAAAGTTTCATTGTGCCCTCCACCTCTGACTAGCTCATAGTTTGATTCATTCCCAGCCACCTTCTTTAACAACAACAATAGCAATAGCAGCAGCAGCAGCAGCAGCAAGCCATAAGCTTTCCTGGTCAGTCTTGGCTCTTCTACAGCACTGTGTGCTTCTGAGGAAGGATAAGGAAGAAGAGAAAAGGGAGTCAATCATCACCTTTCAGGCAGTCCCATTGGGAAAGAAAAGGCAGTCAGAAAAGAGCAAAGGAGAGATGGTGAGGGAGAATGCAAGAAGGAGAGTGTGTCATCCAAAAAGTGTGGCCATGATCCCTACCATTTCCTCTGCTGCAGGTAATTGCACATCCCTACACATTTCTCCTTAAAGACATGGGAGTGCCAACACATCTGATAGTCCTTGTGAAGACACACCCAACTAAAGGTGTGCAATGCCAGTACCCTGGTGAGATCAATCTCTAACCCAAAAAAGGCTCCAAAGCTGAGTGTAAAGTCCAAAAAGAGGAAAATCTATTAAAGAAAAACAAAAAAAGGGTTTCTCCTCCCAAGCTCTAATAGGCTTAAAATAAAAGGTACTTTACAGTTCAGGTTTAATGATCTTCAGTGTTGTCATCTCTCTGGGTTTGTTCCTGGATTGATCTCCTTCTCAATGAAGCTGGTGCAGGGTCTTTCAGCTTCTGGTGCTCTTGTTTTCTTTGATGTTGATATTTATTGGAATTAACTGCTACAGGTAACTAAATTGGCTAATGTGATGAATAAGTTGGCTATATGGTAAATAATTTGGCTGAAGGTGTAAGAAATGCCCTTTCCCTCTGTCTGTGCTGATTGCCACCAAACAGAAAAAGCCAAGCCTGCCTAAGAAAATCTAAAAATCTCAAGCTAAAGCAGAGCTTGCTGGGAAGGGGCAAACAAAAAACTAGAAAAATGCAGGGGATTCCTACAGCTCCTCCCACAAACTAATACAGTGGAATATTCCTATGCTCAAACTGTCTAAGGCAGGGGCCGGCAACCTACGGCCCCCGGGCCGGTTCCGGCCCAGGGCCCCGTGCTTACCGGTCCAGGCGGACCCCTGCCGCCACTGCCGCCTGCCACCGCCGCCACATATTTTGGTCACCGCGCAGCCGCGTGCGCCGCAACCACCATTTGTTTTTCAAAATGGCGGCCGTGATG